TGCCGTAGATGCTGGCAATCCTGACGAGATGCTCAAGGCATGTGATGAGGTGGAAGCTTCTGGTGCAGATGCAACTGGTGTGCCTGCAGTTCGTCTGAAGGCAAAAATAATTCTTGCTGAGGATGAAGTGAATGTTCAATTGTCGGCAGTGCGCTGCAGCCTGGAAGATTTACAAGCGAAATTCGCGGCTGAAGATAGTTTGCGTTTGCTAACTCTGCTTGCAGCTACGCTTACAGCGTTGCAGGGCAAGTTGACAGTTGCTTGCAAATGTGTGAGTTGCCACGAAGCTGTGCTTGCAGGCCAGGCGCCAGTATGCTCACAAGGCACACATTCCTTGTGTTCATTATGCTTTGAGAAGTATGCCCGTGCAGAGCAAGACCAGCCCGAGGCTGTGATTCGTCAACGGGGTGCTTTTCTTGAGTGCCCCTGCAGAGCGCCTGCCGATGCTCGTTGCAAGGGTTCTTTCAGCGAGCAGACAATGGCCAAGTACTTGCCATCAGAGCTCTTTGACACGCATATGGGCCTACAGCGGCAGCAGATCCGTGCAGAAGAGCATGCGAAAGCAAACCAGATGCTCAACAAGCTGGCAGCAGAATGGGAGCGGCAGGTGCCAGGCCTGTCGCAGGAACTGCTTGCAAATCAGTTGAAAGCAGCCTTGCCAGGCGCACATCAGTGCGGGCGTTGCGGTTTTGGACCAGTGCTGCATGACCGCTGCGACAATTTGAGCACCCACCACAATGAAAGCAGTGGCAGGACTCGAATCAGCAATGCTTGTCCAAGTTGTGGTCATTTCAGTGGCAATATTTCGGGCTGGCCACGGTGGGATGGCCGAGTTCGCCATCTTGCCCAAGCGCGCAGCACAGAGGTCCCAGCAAGTACGAACACAAAAACTGCTGCCAGTTCCAGTGACAGCAGACGCAGGGAAGAGCAGATACGGCGTGATTATGAACTGGCAGTGCGCTTGTCCCGAGTAGCCTAGATGCTTCAGGCAGCCTGTGACTGGTGGCGCAATCTGTGTTGCAAATCTCACAGATCGTGCCGCATTCCAAGCGTAGTGTGGGTTAACTGAGGGGCATACGCGAAACCAGCACTGGCACAAGCCATGTTCTGAGGGTTGTACAGACACTGCCTCGTTTCAGGAACGGGTTGGACAGACGGTGCCGAATCACGATTTTTGTGTGGAAACAGAACAGGTCAGGTTTAGTTTGACTTGTGCGAGAGAGACTCGATCGGGTTCTTCATATTCCCGAATTAGCAAACTCAGGATGTGAAGGAGATGGTCGACACATCGATACAGTTTCTCAACTTCAAAGATAAGGTACGTGCCAGCAGCTGCTTTGGCCACAGTCTCCAGATTCCTCCTGACCCTGACTAACACCCCAGCTGAAACCGGTAAAGCCAAAAAACCAATAGTGTGGGTTCGGGTTCAATTGAGGGCTCCCAAACCCTAAACCCTAAACCCTAAAGGCCCTAGATCTGAGCCATCTGAATCCCATGAACCCCAAGCAGGTTCTCGCAATGCCGATTCCGGCTTTGCAAGGGGCTTCAGCAGATCCTGAGCGGGGTTTAGGGTTTCGGGTTTAGGGTTGGGGGGTTTGCAAGGTTTAGGATTTGGGGGTTTCTTATGGGATGATGGGAAGACATCTGCCTCAGAAGCCTCTCCACCAAGTTTTCACACCCTGTACTCCTTGCTCCCCTTTTAGCAGTCGGTTCCACTACTTCAACCTTTTCTTTTTCTGGGTACTGGGAACTCCTAGAAACCAAAAGTGCTAAAACCCCAAACCCCTTGAAATCCTCTTAACCCTAAACCTCCCAAGCGCCCCTGGCAGATGGAGCAGAAAGTCCAGGAATGGAAGGCAGAAGAGGTTGAGTTAACGTTGTTGGAGTTCGCGGCGCCTTCAATGCCCTAAACCCGAAGCCGTAGGGGTTTCGGGCTTCCAGCCACTCCAGGCCTGCAAACAGCCTGGGGTGCACCCAAACCTGGAAACCTTTCTTCTGCTCCTCTCAGGCTTCGAGAGTCACACTACCACTATGGGGCGGCGTATTCATCATTGCTGGAACTTTCGAGCTTTTCCTTGAAGCCGTCCAGCAACTTTCCGGTCTTCGGAGACACCAACAGGTGGATCGGCATGCTTCCAATATAATGCCACTGATTCATCTTACTTTCGTCCATTGCTACCCACCCTCAGTGGTAGCTCTTGCTCAGCAGTACTATGCAGCTCGCGCCTGATGTAGGTTTCAACGTGAACGTGGAGGAATGGCGCTCACGTTCCATTCTGGCATTCTCTCAGCCTTGCCTCTTCTTTTCTTTGACATACCGCTCTCCGCCAAAACATCGTGGATCACCGCTGCTGCACTTACCTGACCTGGCCTCCTAGTTTTAGCACGCTCGGTTCGAGGAGGGTGTGGCGCATGAACATCTGCGGAGGGTGCTGGCTTCTTTTACTGTTGTTTTGCAGAATTCCACGCGGCCCTGCGCACGAGCTCCGCTAGTCAACATATCCATGTGGTGTGCAAACTTATTGAAGTATATTCGGAGCAGACATCCTCTTTTTAAGCTCTTCTCTGAGTAAGTCGATGCATTCGTCTCGGTCACCTTCACTGCCAATTCACCCTCCAGTAGTCCCAGTCTCCCAGGATAATTAGAAAACAATGGCAGCAACTCTTGGACAAACCCCCAAAGCCGTCCAACAAATGGCGGCTGCTGGTAGCCCCAGATGCAGCTTGCACGTTGACACAAGGGGCCACCTTCCCTTTGCGTTTAGCCGAGTTATCGTTTGCGTGGTATCCTCGACCAGGGCGGCTAGGGCTACCTGACCTTGGCAACCGAATTTATGCAAGAAGTGTAAACCCAATGCGAAAAACATTCCAAGGTTATCTGAGCCTGCACCGAAAAGTCCCAAAGTGCGAATCCTTTTCTGCGGCAACTGAACGTAAGCCCTGCATGCCGAAAATCACCGGCGTGCCTCCTTCGGGGCCTCAACTTTCGCTGGCCCTGCTCTCAAGTTTGCAGTTAGGCCTCCAAAACCCACGTCGTTAAAACCCAACAGCATCCAGTCCGTTTGTAGGACGCCTTCCCATGCTTTCCCATTCTAGCCAATCACGAGCTGTTTGATGGTTTGTGGCAGGTGTTTTTCAATTCAAACATGTGCCTGGCTGTGAGTGTGGCTCAACGCGGGAGACTATTCATTTGTTTTGACTGTTTCATGCAGACATTTTTGTGCCACGCAAGTGTGATGACTGTTTTGATTGGGCAGATAGTAGATACAGCATTCATTGTGTAGCACCAGATCCGCAGAATGTTCGCAGTGGCCTTGGGACAGCATAAATTCTAACTCCACTGTATTTAGGTGTGCCAGCGGAGCACATTTGGAGCAAGTGCGCAGATCAGGAAGAGCCGTCTCGTTTTGTGGGTTTTTGTGCCAGCTTCTGCTCAACAACTCGGAGTCCGCCAGGATGGCATCCTCGGTGCCGGTGGATTTCTCTTCCGGAGATCATTACGCTGTTTTGGGCGTACCCCGGACAGCCAGTGAGGCCATCCGCGGCCGTCTTTCAAGCAAGTACAGCGTGAACAAGCGTGAATGGGAAGTGCGGAGCTGCCAGGCAGAGATTGCCAAGGCTTACAGGAGTTTAGCATTACGTTACCACCCGGACAAGAACCAAAGCAAAGTCAAAGATGCAGAGGTGTGGCATGTGCCATGCTGCCATACATGCTTTGTCCCCTGTGAAGCAGTACAGCAGTGTTTGATGCAGCGCAGGTCGGGTTCAAGCGGATTTCCGAAGCATATTCGGTGTTGAGAGATCCGCAAAAACGCGCAGAGTGACCCCGACACAAGGTAGTATTGTTGTGGTTGATGGTTTTGTGTCCTTTATCATTTTTGTCATGAGCCAACTTATATTGAATTCAGGTATGATCGTACTGGCGGAACTCGCTCTTATGTGTCCTGGCTCATGGAGTTCATGTGGTTTGTGCACCGTCACGAGCGCTTGAAGGGTTTATGTTCATAAGTTCAGACCCAGGTCAGCTATGATGAAGCAGAGCAGATGTGGCGTCAATTTTCTGGTGAAGGTCGCCACGAGGTCGTTGTTGATGCCTGTTGGTGTTCAAGAGTTGTGGGGCGCATGATGGCCCTGCAGACACGACGGAAGGCTGAGGAGGATAGCAGACCAAATTCCGACTTGCAGAACAGGAGAAAGGCTGCGATGAAATTTGACGAGCACTTGTGTTGACATGCTGGACTTTCGGATTTTGTGCTAGAGTCTCGAGCTTGAGAGCCGGTTGAAAACCGCAATGCAGGCGATGGCAATTCTGGTTGTCCTTGGTCTCTTTGTTTTGGCGCCGAATCTCTTGATCCAAGTGCTGCCGGGTTTGACTGCAGCAGTCGTAGGCAGGGGAGACAGCGGAAGGTCGGAATCCACATTTCGCGCAAACACATGCGCATTTGCGGAGGCTTTGCTTTGCTGACTCGAAGAGAAAATGCATCCAAATGGGCCTGGCATGGCTCCCAGCTTGTGTTGCATTGTGCAAATGCACCGATGGCACCGGGGAGGGGGGGAAGGGCGACTCGGGTCTGTTAGAAGGTGCGCTTTGGCTTTGTTGCTCGCCAGCTATGTTGCGCCTTGGGTTTTGCGCGTGCAGATCCCAGCTTCTGACCATGTAGACATGCACGGTGCATGGTGTTCACCTAAATTGCTGAGGCTCGGTCATCCTTCGAACCGATGGCAGGTGCTTCCAGCTTGCGCTTGACATGCAATGGTCGCATGGTGATCCTTTGTTTGAGACAGCCTCGTTGGTTAGTTTGTGGCTGTTTTCGGAGGTGATGTTTGTGGCTGCACAGAAATATGCTTCATTTTCCTTCATAAGCTCCGCGCATCTTCACATGCTCACACGTCCCACGTCCCGCGCCATGTGTTCGATGTCTGTTGTCGCAGTCTCGGCTATGGCAGTCAAGCTTGGGGCCCGTGAATCAGGTACAGAACTGCATGGCCTTGGAGAGACAGAGTCCTCAGTGTCGCGGATCAACCATGAGACGTGCTTGTGCTGCCTCGTGTCTGCGAGAAATGCATGGGACGAGATGAGTGTAGTTGCTGTTCACCGAGGTGCCTGTTGGCACGCCGAACAGTGGTGAGGAGGTTCTGATCGATGGGTACACAGCTTGGTCCAGACGATTTTGATGGTTTGCGATGCTTGTTGGCCACAGGTTGCGTTCTTCAAGTTTTAGCTGTAAGGCAATTTTTGCGTGTTGCGGACCCAACGCATCGAAATGGGCCAGTCAGCGAAGGCTGGCAGCAGCGACTGTCCGGAGCCCTGAGGCGAATGCACAGGACCATCCCTTCGCCCAGTGGCTGACAGTGACAGTGAGGTTGGGTGAGATGACCGAAGCTATCAAGAAAGGCCGCGAGCAGGCACGGCGTACAAAGTGCCATTGCCACAGCGGGTCGAAGGCGAGTGCAGAGCAACGGACAGGTTCTGATGGTCTTCTCTCGTGAGGGATGCCCCTGGTGCCAGAGGACACCATTGGACACCGTTGTGGAGGAAACAAGTTGAGCTTAGCTTCCCTGATCCTGTGCCAGGCAGCTGCCAGTGCTCCAGGCTGCCATTGCCAAGCGAGCCGGGGTGGGAACACAAGACGTGGAGGTGCTTTGCGTGCTTTTCAATACTGACAAAGATGCTTCGGTTGCGGTGGAGGTGTTTCTGTAGCCGATTCCGAACCAGACTAACAGACATTGTCATCTGTTTGGTTTTCTTTGGGATGTTGATTGTTTCGGCAACATGGCTGCGGGCCTGAGCGGTGGAATGTGCTGTTTCCTTCAATTGATCCAGGGCGGTTTCTGGTGGACATCGTTTAGCAACCAGATCTCAGTATATCCCCTTCGCAGCCACTGCAGCTGCCACGACCCAAAGAACAAAGGGGTGAGCTCCTGATGCTTGCTTTCCCTAGATCGGCCCGTTGGCCTGCTGAGCCGGAGAGAATCGGGTTTAGAGTTTAGGGCTTAGGGCCAAGGGCGGCAGGACATCTTGAGGTTTTGTTGACGAGAGCAATGCTCAGACTGCTGAACCAAGTGCGGCCTGGCCTTCACCTTCAGCAATTCCCTTTCCTTCCCTTTCCTTCCCTTTCCTTCCCTTTCTTCCCAGCCCCTCGGCCTCCGGCTTCACGCCACTCCACTCACTCACTCGCTTACTCAAAGAGCGGAATTTGCTCCCCAAGCACAGACAAAGAGTCCAAAGTCTGAGAGAGGAGGCGACAAACGATGCGAAACAAATTACGCAGCACAACCTGCAACGAAAGCATGCAAAACTCAGTACAGGCGGAAGGGGAACAAAGTGAGAACGGCTGCATGAACCGGGCAACGGACCCTGTCGCAAACTGACATGCAGCTCGGATCGGAGCTTCCAGTGTTGATGGATGTTGACGGTACAGGTCCAACATGTCGTCATTCTGCATTCCATTGCCGTTTGGTGCAATTTTCAGGCTCAGCCGGCATTCCTGGCGCCTTCCGGAACTGCGGCTGTCGGAATGGCGGGGGCACATATGGACACGGACACATTGGGGTTTCGATCGTTTCCAGTTTCCAGTTTTTGTGCCATAGGCGCAGCCACCCGCCAATGGGCTCTCCTCAGCGCCCCTGCGCGTTTTCATTTTCTATGCCGGGTCCATAGCAGCGCGTGCCGTGTCGGCATGCTCGAGCTGCGAGTACTTGCCAGTGCTTGAGGCGGAAGAGTTTCAAAACGTCGCGCAAGCCTTCAAAGTTGAGGCCATATGTGAACGACTCTGCGAAAGACTCTGACTCTGCCCCTGAGAGGCCTTCCCAACCCTTATCGCTTGGGGACGTCCTGGCGTCCCGAAGTGCTGGCGAGTGTTATCGTGACTATAAGACTTGAGAGGTTGGCATTGCCATCGGATTCAAGCCTAGGGCCTAGATTGCAAGTGTCCACTGGCCAGGCCGTTGGCAGCTCAAGGCTTTCTTGACGAGCAGAATCTGGAGCAACTGACGCCTGTCTGCAGTGGCAAATGGATCCTATCAAAGTACTAAGGCTCACCAGGGTCTGACGTTAAGTTCCTTTGCAGATGTCCGCTGCGTCCTCTTGCGCGCAGTTGGTTTGCTCATGTCGGTTCATGCTTTGTAGTGCTGATGAGTGCTTGCGCAAGTACTAGCTGCTTTCCGACAGAATTGTTTCGTTCAAGACAATAATACAGGAGCGCCAAGAAAACCAGCCAGCTCAAGCAGAAAGACTTGGCAAAGACATAGTTTCATGTTCATTCGTCTGAGTCATCCGGCCAAGGATTCTTCCTTAGAGCGTTCATCCATGCCTTCTCTGCTTTACTTAGCGTGTCTCGGTGTCTTCCTGCATTTCCTCCACCAGCGCTGGCCTATGTCTAGCCGAGGCACTTGTGTCGATCTTGTTTGGTCACTGGACACTTAGGCTCAGTCTTGGCTTGTGTCTGAAGCGGATGCTAAGTCTGGGTTCAGACAGGGGACGTAGGGTGTTTCCTGGCCGGTGTCGCTTTGACTCCTCTCGATCCTTCGACATAGTAGGTTCTTCATTTGTGCTGGGGCGCTGTTAACCAGGGGGAAGCAGGTGAACTTTGGCAAAGCCTCCTCATGCAAAGTCACCCAGCAGGTCGCTGGTTTGCTGCTTCTCAATGTTTGTGCGTTTGCCGACTAAGGCTGCAGGAGGTCGCCGTGGCCGAGCCGCAGGTGCCTAAACACCCTTTTCATTCTGAAGCATCCCTTCTTTGTGCTCTTTTTCTGTGTTCACATCTGTGCACAGGCAGAGGAGCCGAGCAGTTGACAACTGCAGAGATTGTTTGTGATCATGAGGTGTTGATATGCTTCGTGAAGTGGAGTACTTCGGATCCGCTAGTACTTTTTCGGCTTTCATGTCTACAGTGACATGTCCAAAGGTGGTTATCTCCTCCAGGCACACATGTGCAGACTGCCCAGCACTTGTCCTCCTCAGCTTTTAAATGAAAGGGAGGCCAGCGTGAGGCAGATTTTGCTTGGAGTACGCCTGGCATATTGCCAGGATCAGACCATACCCTAGCTGCTGCAACATGAAACAGCACGCTTGCTGCAATTTTGTCAGACCGTGTTGGGGTGCCGTGGCTGCCTTAGCTGTATAACTTCCAACTTTCTGTTTGCAGGCAAGTTGCCGTGGCTTGAGCATCGAAAGCGCACGAGTCATACGTTCTCTGGCATGACAAAGATGGGTGTCGCGGACGACTGCAGCGTGAGGCAAATCGGTCACACAGGTCAGCCAGAGATACACACGCCCCCGATATCACACGACTTCAGGCCGAAAGCACTGTGACTTCGACTTTAACGGGTCCACCATGTCGGCCTCAAACTGAAACGCCTCCTGCGCAACGCGCTCTCAAGCTTTTGTCACATCTGCAGCTTCAGCAGTGGGGCCATGTTGCCGCCAATGCTTGTAGTTGAATGGCGTAGGAACGTGCAACATCGTGCGAGAGGATGTGAGCATCGGACAAAAGCTAATGTAAACCCACTCTTGTCTTGATGTTGCATTCTGGCTTTAAGTACTTTTCCTCGAAAATCGGTAGATCCAAAAAACACCCCTAGAATCGAAAATCGACAGGGCCCACCAAGCAAGGTGCGCAACGTTCGGCGAATACGCTGCTTTATCAGTCGCTCATGTGGCATTTGTTGAAGAGTGCTGCTGTCTGTGTTCAAGCTGATTGGTTCCTGATAGCAGAGAGTGGAATGAGGCGCTCTTGTCGAAAGGGGCGCCAGTATCCTTGAGCTCCGAGGTGGCTCCCACCATGAAGTAGCACTGAAGTAGTTCGCGTGTAGGCATGTCGGCCAAGGCATAGAAACGACAGCATCCAGAAACAAAGTGGGGCCAGCCCGAATTTAGTTCAGATGGCTGGAATGCTGCAGCAGCCCTTGCTCCACACTGTTGCGGTCGAGGTGGTGGCGCTGTTGGGCTTGGTTGCCGGCGCTTTGTTCGTAAGCTGCAGATCTCATGACTTTCTTTGCTGCAGACGTCGTCGACTCCGGGGACATCTTCAGTTTCGCCAAGCCTGGCATCGGTCCATCAGGACCTGGCATGATGATACAGAAAAGGGGGGTGTCTTTGCTGGGGGATCTGAGCTTGGTTCTTGAGAGCAGACGGCCGCGCAGGATTCGGTCGGCTGTTCGAGGCCAAACGCGTTCCTGAAGTCTTGCTGGTGTATGATGGGGCAGACTTGTTGTGACCTTTCAATATCTAGAAGGAATGCTGCATCGCCTTGCCACATGCGCAATTTGAGTGGTGAAACAAGTTCGCTGCAGCTTGCGGAGGTGGAGTCCGTACTCACAGCCGCTTCCCCCGCCTTTGGGATCGCCATGCATTCCAAGTGGCATGGCTGCACGCTTTGGCAGCAATGCTGCATGAGAATGGCATAGTATCAGGACGTGCCTTTTTGTAGGTCAAAGGAATCGTGAATCGGATTCCAGCGCATGGTCTCAGGCCGTGACTTCATGCTGCCTGACCCACAGGCTCGGCCCGAAATTCCCGTACAGTAGTGCATGTCAGCATGTGTCAGCGATCCTGCACAGCCGATTGGAATGTGTGAGCAGAGGCTTCGTTTCAATCGCAGACTTCGCGGGAGTCCTTCCAAGAGGAGAGCAGGTTTTTCAATTTTTTACAAGTGTGGTCTTGCGAGTCATGGGCCGCCTTTTGGTGTGCTTGTTGCAGCCTGTCCCACGACTGTGATTGTTCAGACGACCTGCTTGGTTTGTTCGCTGCTTCTATGGGCGCTCAGTCTTTATCGTGCCAGCTCATGTGTCACCTGTTGCCATTAAACTTCTCTTCAAAGATCACAACTTTTGTCTTCAGCCTGTCTTCGTGATGGTTACCTCCAGCTCACTTTGGTTGCCATATTGTGTCCCCGACTCTCTACTTCCGCGGCTTGTGTTTGACTATTTGAGAGTTACTGGCCCATGCAGGAGGGTTTGCAGGAGGGGTTGCAATCGGAGGGCCTATTTTTTTGGGTATCTTTTTTTTTTTTTTTTTTTGGGGGCCTTTTTTTTTTTTTTTGGTCGATTTTCTTGGTTTTTCCTAAGAAAACCACCATTCCCTCCATATTTTTAAAGGATTTGATGCATTTTCGTGGTTTTTTGTACGAAAAACAGTAATTTCTCTGTGGTTTCATAGGAAAGCGTTATTTCTGGTACGTTTTAGAAGGAAAGAAGGAAAGAAAGGAAGGAAGGAAGGATGAAAGAAAGGAAGAAAACAAGGAAGGAAGGAAGGAAGGAAGGAAGGAAGAAAGGAGGGAAGGAAGAAAGGAAGGAAACAAGGAAGGAAGAAAGGAAGGAAGAAAGGAAGGAAGCAAGGAAGGAAGAAAGGAAGCGTGCTTCGAAGCCCAAGAAACTAGTTGAAAAACATCGTGTGAGCATTGTGTTTGCAAATGGGGGGGGCTGCGCCCCCCCCAACCCCCCCGCTTTTTTTGTTTTTTTTTAAGCCGTGCAGAGCGTGCGTGCTTCAAAGCCCAAGAAACTTGTTGACACCCATCATGTGAGCAGGGTGTTTGCAAATGGGGGGCGCAGACCCCCCAACCCCCCCCCGCTTCTTTTAAGCCGTTCAAAGCCCAAGAAACTAGTTGAAAAACATCGTGTGAGCATTGTAATTGCAAATGGGGGGGGCTGCGCCCCAACCCCCCCGCTTTTTTTCAGCCGAAGCCCAAGAAACTAGTTGAAACCCATCATGTGAGCAGGGTGTTTGCAGATGGGGGGCACAGCCCCCCCCAACCCCCCCGCCGCTTCTTTTAAGCCGTACCAAGCGTGCTTCAAAGCCCAAGAAACTAGTTGAAAAGCATCGAGTGAGCATTGTGTTTGCAAATGGGGGGGGCTGCGCCCCCCCCAACCCCCCCGCTTTTTTTTTTAAGCCGTGCAGAGCGCGCTTCAAAGCCCAAGAAACTTGTTGACACCCATCATGTGAGCAGGGTGTTTGCAAATGGCGGGGGGCTGCGCCCCCCCCCAACCCCCCCCGCTTCTTTTAAGCCGTACCAAGCGTGCTTCCCAACCCAAGAAACTAGTTGAAAAACATCGTGTGAGCATTGCAAATGGGGGGGGCTGCGCCCCCCCCAACCCCCCCGCTTCTTTTAAGCTGTACCAAGCGTGCTTCAAAGCCCAAGAAACTAGTTGAAAAACATCGTGTGTGCATTGTGTTTGCAAATGGGGGGGGGCTGCGCCCCCCCCAACCCCCCCGCTTTTTTTAAGCCGTGCAGAGCGTGCTTCAAAGCCCAAGAAATTTGTTGACACCCATCATGTGAGCAGGGTGTTTGCAAATGGGGGGGGGGGCTGCGCCCCCCCAACCGCCCCCCCGCTTCTGTTAAGCCGTACCAAGCGTGCTTCAAAGCCCGAGAAACTAGTTGAAAAAAAAGTATGAATCCGATGAAAATATAGAGGGAATGATAGAAACCAAGAAAACGAACCAAATAGGGTTTTCCCTAGGACAAACTAAGGAAAAGCAACGTACGCTTTGACGTTTGACGAAATCCGTCCAAAATGTAATCAGAAGAGGGTTTCCTTAGGAAAAACGAACGAAAACCTCGTTTTTTTCAAGCCGTGCAGAGCGTGCTTCAAAGCCCAAGAAACTTGTTGACACCCGTCATGTGAGCATGGTGTTTGCAAATGGGGGGGGGGCTGCGCCCCCCCCCAACCCCCCCCCCGCTTCTTTTAAGCCGTACCAAGCGTGCTTCAAAGCCCAAGAAACTAGTTGAGAAACATCGTGTGAGCATTGTGTTTGCAAATGGGGGGGGCTGCGCCCCCCCCAACCCCCCCGCTTTTTTTAAGCCGTGCAGAGCGTGCTTCAAAGCCCAAGAAACTTGTTGACACCCATCATGTGAGCAGGGTGTTTGCAAATGGGGGGTGGCTGCGCCCCCCCCCAACCCCCCCTGCTTCTTTTAAGCCGTACCAAGCGTGCTTCCCAACCCAAGAAACTAGTTGAAAAACATCGTGTGAGCATTGCAAATGGGGGGGGCTGCGCCCCCCCCAACCCCCCCGCTTCTTTTAAGCTGTACCAAGCGTGCTTCAAAGCCCAAGAAACTAGTTGAAAAACATCGTGTGTGCATTGTGTTTGCAAATGGGGGGGGGCTGCGCCCCCCCCAACCCCCCCGCTTTTTTTAAGCCGTGCAGAGCGTGCTTCAACCTAAGGGAAATTACAGGAAATCCGTCCAAAATGTAAAAAAATAGGTTTTTCCCTATGAAAAACCAACGAAAACCTCAGGGAAATGACAGAAAATCCGTCCAAAATGTAAGGAACGTAGGGTTTTTCCTAGAGAAAACCAAGGAAATCGACCAAAAAAAAAAAAAAGCCCCCCCCCCAAAAAAAAAAGACCCAAAAAAAAAACTCCACCCGTTCCAATCCCTCTCGTGCTTGAAAGCCGCTCGCATTGTGTGTTTGGCGAGTCTCACGAAGCCAACTCGGGAATGCAGACGTGCGCCAGACATGTGATGTTGGGTGGGCCGGACCGGCTTTAGCTTCAAGAGCTTTGCCCACTCCGCTTTCCACCTGGTTACATACGCCGAGCGTAGTTTGTCCGTTTTGGAGCTTTTGGTGTGATGGCAGGAGATCATGTCGCTGCAGTCCGAGCTTCCGGTGGAGCAGGAGGCCATCCCGCAATTATTGTGCTTGGCACACGCTGCATGTTTTTCAAGTTTGGTGGCCATCGTGTGTTGCTTCGTGTCGGGCCTCTTTCAACACAGAGGTCTCGCAGAAAGCCATTGTCCCACTTGACCAGCACCTGGGTTTCACTTGAGTTGCTTGGTGCCGGGTAGCGGTCAGAGCAT